AACTTACAGTACAGGCCCCAGTGTACTCACTGCATCAGGTTTGCTTATGACAATTAACTAAATTAGCCACAAGGAAAACTACGAGAAAGGAATATATTTTTGTAAACAGGGCAGATTTAAAAGCATTGCTCTCTTTTCATGGTGCCCACTACAAACACAGTCTGATCTGTTTGCCACCTTCAACAGGACAGTTTGTTGTTACAGGATGAGGACCTTGCTGGAGGCCACCATCCAGTAACAAACCTGCTTCTCTAACCCTTACGTCACCGCTGCCTTCCTGGTATGAAATGATTTTGGTCACTGTTTTTCTGGATGCATTTCATTGCANCAAATCAGCGTTTGTTGGTTGTTGCTTACTCCAAACCAAAAACTAAAGAAGACCGCCTCCAAAACTTTGGAACTCTCTCCTGCTGGACTTCATATCTTAGAAAAGAAACTCAACTGAGCAGCAAATCAACAACAATATGTGGCAATAACAAAAGTTGTTCACCGTTTTTCACCTAAGCGTGTCTGATATCACGACTAGAAAATGGTGACAGGATAAAATCCTTTCTTGCTGAACATCTGCACATTGATGTTCCACTACTGACTGACCTGCTGGCTAAATGCTAGCTAGGTGGCTACAGATCCATGCACAGACAAACTTCTGGTCTCCCACTCAAGTTACTGACAGTTGTGGGACCCAAAATTATTCAGTAAAAATTAAAATTAAACGTTAGTGTCAGATTAATCCAAGTTAAAACCAAGTGGTCTTATCTACATAGACTGTTTTTTATGAGTGAAGAGCTTTTAAATTGAAGTTAATCATATTCATTTAATTGCAGGACGCCAAAGCTGTGATTAGTATCTGTTCAATTTCACCCTACAATTGTGTTAGGCATTGAGATTAAATGCTGTAGTTTTTCTTCATCACTGCCTCGGTTAATATGCAGCCTGCAGCTGCGAGTGAAATTTAGGGGTCAGAAAAACACCATTTCAGTGTGAAGTTCAGATTTTTTTTTTGTTGCCTTATTTTGTTCCAAGTTCAATTGTAAACTTGAATGCTGAAGCAGAAAATTAATTTGCAACAATCTGAAAAATTTATTCAATCATTTAGCAAATAAATCTGCTCAGCAGTCACGTGTCAAAAGATCATTCAAGTGACATCTGAGTAAATTCCATCTGATGATGAAGGCCATGTGATGCAGCTCAAAGACCCATAAAGAGCTACTAAGTTGACCTTTAGTTGGGAATGCTGTAGCACTCTATTATTATTTCTGAAACCAAGCATTAATTTGATGCAACACCACAAAAACACATTTGAGAATTGTGTCATTTCTAAAATCAACTTTTTATATGCAAATTTGAAAACCACCTAGCTAGGTCATTTATTTTGACTATCTGGCATGAATTTGAAAAAGATTATAGTCAGGCAACTGCTCAGGCATCCAGTCTGCATAATGCTGCCTATCAGCTACAATCTTACTATTCTCGTATTTCCTGCAACCACATCTCTCTAGACGATGACGCAGTGAACCAGCTCACCAGGCAGACAGTTAAACCAGTCTGTTAGCTTTACAGCTGCAGCTTTTTAAATAATCAATTAATCATTTGAATCATTTCTAAAGATCCTCCAAAGTAGGATTATTGCTTTATACAACTGCACTATAAATAATTTGGGACTCCTGATGGAGACATTTGAAGGTGTCACTGTGGGGTAAGGTGCAGAACACTGTGATGGTATTTTTGCCCATTTCTTTGACTGTAATGATCAAATCACCAGCCGGTTGATCAGAAAAACCCATCGGCATCCGGTGCTCTGCTCAGCCCCACCCAGACACGACACCTGTCTGTAGGTGTCAGCGCTCGAGGATCATGTTGCGATACAGCCCTCTGTGCACACATACAGCCACTTTGTGTACATATGAGCAGTTTATGGAAGGATCCAGCAGCTCCCAGCCCCCCTTCATTCTTTCTCTCGCAGTGCTGAGAAAAGCAGCTTAGTCTAAATTTGCTCCAGGGGGTTGGGAAGTGGTTCCCAGGAAAACCATACTGCAGACAAACAGCACAGAGAAGCACACTGCTGATGTCACTGATCACTTCTACAGAAATTCTGAAATATCGCTCGCCTCTCGACATGTCGAACAGGCCGGATGCCACTGCATGTTACAGGGTCCAGCCTGAACTGCATTAACAAATCGCTGCAGACATACCATAATATTATGCAGATGCGTAAATGCAGCAGCTTTCAGTCCACCACACACACACATACACAAACATACCAGCAGCAGCATCCTTGTGTGATAGTTTTAGGAGAATACACTCCAGGGTATGTAATGTACATTATACCATGGTCTGGGTGAATACTCGATTCTGATTGGCTGCAGGGTGTCCATTAACAAGTGATATACGACACCTATAAAGAAGTTCCGGTCAAATAACCTGATTGTTCTAAATTAATGCGCTGACTCAAACGGTAGTTGGT